GGAAGGCTGGTACAAATGGGCAAATCAGAGAATCAATGAATTTGGGGCAGCCACAGTCCTTAGATATCACTTAGTCCAACCCCAGGGCTTAGTGTTAGGTAAAAGCATATATTACTGACCCTGACAAAGAAAAATGTCTCCACTGTCTTATCACTTATAACAAAACTTTGAGCAATCCTGAGGAACATGGTGAAGTTCTGCCAATTGACTTCTCACACCCTTCAACATGGCCAGCATCCAGCAAAACTATGAAGAAGCACCCAATCATATTCCCTTCCACTGCCTCCATGTTTCCTCCTGAGACCCCCATATGGAAAAAACTAACAAAACAGAAAAGCAAACCCCCAAAACCCTGTAAAATCTGTCAAGTTCATTTACAAGAAAACTTATTAGCAAAGGTTTAAATGTGCTTTACCAATAAAGTGATTTCAGGAAGACTAAATAAGAGGAAAGAAGGAAAGGAAATGAGCATTTATAAAGTACCTACTACATGCCAGGCACAAAGCTTTACAAATATGACTTCATTTGATTAACAGGACTCAGAGAAATTTCAACTACTTCATGATTAATTTCAAAGACCAACTTAAACTTTCATTCCTGATCTCTGTTCAGCCAATAAATGGCTACATCTTTTTCAACTAGAGAGAATTTTGAGGTTATCATAATAATAGGTTCCCACAGACACATAGCATTTCTGTTTAATCACGAATAGAAAGACCAGGAGGTGTATATATAGATGAGGACATTTAGCAAATACTGTTTAATAATATTGCCATGCAGCAAAGTACAGCTTTGCTGTTAAGGTGATATCAGGAGGTTCTAGATGGAGGCTGGGAAGGGAATAAGTATTAGAGGTGATCATGGGAAAAAAATGAGGCTCCCAGTTGAGTGGCTTGGATAGAATGTGTTATACTCATGTCTCCATCTTTAAATTCCATTAAATCATTTTAGGACTAATAATTCTGTACAATAATTTAGAAATGGAGAAGTCTTGATTGGAAATGGTCTTAATTTCTCAGATCAGCTGTGCTGGCAAATCAGATACCCACAGAAATTCAAAGAAATCTGACCCTTCCAAACTATGAGCTCCTTAGGGGCAAGGGCTGTCCTTTTGTCTTTCTTTGTATTCCTAATCCTTAGCACAGTGCTTGGCACATAGAAGGCACTTAATAAATTTTTATTGACTTTAAATAAACTCTTTAAATAATTTCTATGTAATAATTCTTCTTTAGAGTTATTATAAAGTTACTCTTTTAAGTAACCTGAAGTTACCTCTCTGTCCATCCTAAACCTGATCTCTAACCAAAATACACCAAGTTCCTTCAACCAATCTCCAAATGGAACAATCAATTCGTTAACAGTTATTATGCCAAGGACAACAAAGTTCACCCCAAATATAGTACAACTAATTTCCAATTTCCCAAGTTAACAAAACTGAATACACCAAAGTCTCATTTCAGCTACTGGCAGATGGCTGACCTGATTAGAGTGTAATCTCCTGGAAGACAGGGGCAACATTTTGTCTTGGCACTTAGGCCAGTGCTTCACAAAGTCAATAAATTAAATTAAACTGAAATGTATGATTTAACAAAAAGTTCACGAATAGGAGACCCATCAGTGCTTATTAAAATAAGCTAGCATAAACCTGACCTCTAGGACAGGGGTTCTTAACCTGAAGAACTGAGTGTGAATTTTTGTTTTAAAATATTCTGATAATTGTATTTCAACATAATTAATTTTCATAATCCTATGCATTTATTTTTTGTATTTAAAAACATTATTCTCAGAAAGGGGTCCAAAGGCTTCACCACACAAAAACGGTTAAGAATTCCGGCTCTAGGAGGATCTTAGAGAGAAAAGCCACAATTTCACCACGCACATCCTTTGTGGCTGTTGTTGGCAACAAAATATGGAACTTCTAGGCCTTGGCATGGTAATACTTAAGTTTAATTATCTGTAACAAACAATGATTTCTTCAAGTTACAAAAATAAGACATGTAATGAAAGTCTTTAAACTTTGCATTCTAATCACAGGGACCTGTGGTTTCATTGATATGGGGATATTCCCAATGATGAAACTCAAGTTGGCAGTTTCACTATATTAAAACATAAAAGTTGTCTTAGATATGGGGCAGCAATAGGGTAGGCTGAGCTTCAAAACAATTAAGTTTAATTATTAACTCTTGAAGATTGATTGAATTATCTTCACTCTTAAAATTATTTTACTTCTTAGATCTCTGGTTGTTCCCTCATTCTAGAGCCCTCCCAAGTGTCATAGAATTATGGATTGAGGGCTAGAAGGAGCCTTAAAGAATATTTAGTAAAACCCTCTCGTTTGAAAGCTGAGAAGGGAAGAAAAGGCAATGCCAAAATTTGAAACCTCTGACCCAGAACAGTATGCTGTCTACACTGGAGATATCAAACTCTAATGGAAACTGATCCCTGCAGTCCCTTACGTAGAAAACCACAAAGTGACATTATCCATGTTGCACTGTATTTTTTTTTGTTAAATATTTCCTGATCACATTTTAATCTAGTTCAACCTGCCCTTGGGAGTTCTGTCGGTTGCCTATAGTCCTCTGGCCATGAGTTTGAAACCTCAGCACTACCCTTCTGGGGCTCCTCTTCCTATGTATTGGCTCCTTCCCCACTGCCTACAAATGTGTTCAAGTCTAATCCATGCTTTCAAAAGAAAAAAATATATAATGTTCTCTTGGACCTGTTGTATTTTTGAGAAAAGAATGATATCCTTCCATTTCACTAGGAAATTTCTAAAAAATAAAGTAGTCTATGTTAATCATCTCCACATCCTTATCACTTATTCCTTCATCAATTCCTTGTATCTGTATCCCCAACACTGAACACAGTGCCTGGCATATAGTAAACACTTAACAAATGTTACATCACTCAGTTACACATACTAGCTGTTCCCAGAATTGGATGTGCTATTTCCATTTTATGTAAACTTAATTTACTTCTCCCTAAACTTAATCTTTCCAAATCCTTTTTCCTCCAAGGCACAATTTAAGTGTCACCTTCTTCATGAAATGTCTGATTCTCTCAGCTGATTGTACTCCTGGCCCCTCAAATCCTCCTACAATAATGTATGATCTCCTCCACATATCTCCATCATCTTGCCTTCTATTATATATTCCTTTGAATACTTCACAGTCAAATTCCACCCCAAATAAAATATATGCTCAGTCAAGCTGAGGACAAGCTTTCTGCAAAAATTTAATCCTACATGCTTGAGCCAGTTCAAACCTACTCAAGAGAGACAACTGTTAAATTTTGGGAAACATTTACACTTTAGAAATCATCAAATTCTACAAATCAAGGCTTGGTTTATTGTTCTGATTAGTGTTTACAATTAAGAGAGGAAGAGATAAGATGAAATCATGTAAATCAAACTTCAAAAGCTTATCTTGTGTACGTTTTTCAATGTCTTGCATATACGTGTGTATATATATGCATGTGTGTGTATATATTTTTCCCCCCAGTAGGCCAGCTGTTTGACATTTACCAGGCACACCTCTTTTGTATTTATGATATGAAAGTATTCTACAACATTCCGCTTTTGATGGTATCTCAGAGGTACTGAGAGCTTAAAATGACTTGCTCAGAATCCCAGTACCAAAAAGATGTCAGCAGCAGGGCTTGGAATTGGGTCTTCCTGATTGTTAGGCCTGTTTCTCTATTCACTATAGCAAACTGCTCTCACCTTGAACGAGAATGAGTTCTTCACATTTATTTGTTTAATCAAATTGTCTGGGGGCTTTCTTTGCTTAACTGTATAACAGATGATTCTTCAAAATGAACAGCATTCAGGGAGCCATGCATTATTCCCAGATTTTATATTGTTCTAGACTCTCTAGACTCTCATATTTCTCATATGGTGTTTACAGCCACAAATATCTGTTTGGTTTCTGTGTTTCCAAAAATAACAAAAGCCAGACGGCAATACCCTGGATAGACAAGGGGGAACATATCTTACTTATATCTTTTTTAAATATTTAATTTTTTTCTCAATTGCATGTAAACAAAAATTAACAGTGTTTTTAAATTTTATATTCCATATTCTCTCCCCTCTCTCTCCTTCCACCTCCTTGAGAAGACAAGCAATTTGATGCATCTTACTTATATTTAACCTCCTCCACACACCCAAATCCCCCCAGTAAAGTGGGTATCAAGGTAATCCCAGGCACCTGGGAGACAGAGACACTATCGTTGATGCTTCCAACTCTCCCTGACCTCCCACCTACAATCAACTGCCATGCCTTGATGATTCATTTTATGAGTTCAATAGCTCTTACACACCCCCCCTAATTCAGGCCATAATTACCTCACTTTTACTATAACAAAAGCCTCACCATTGGCCTCTCTACCTTCAGTCTCTGCTTCCTCCAATCCACAGTTCATACAACTGTCAACATAATCTTGGGATCATGTTACTCTCAACGTTTAAATTGGGGACAAAGTTGCTTGGGGACAATAACGGGAGACCAGTTGTGATTTGAGTTGGGGGAGGGAATTCAAGGGAGCACACAGGCAGACAAGAAAGCACATACACACACACACACACTCTCTCTCTCTCTCTCTCTCTCTCTCTCTTTCTCTCTTTCTCTCTCTCTCTCACACACACCCTAAGTAGTATCCATCCACTGATCACATTCCCTTTTCACTACATGAGTTTTCACTTGGCTAGGACTTCCATTTCTGAGACCCAGCCAATCCAGCACACGGCAGAGCCTCAGATTACACAACTGCCTCATTCAAAACAGTGACATGTGCAAGCGGCTATGAATAAAGGCACTCGTGCACTCTGTGAAGCTGCGTGCTCTCTATACCTGTTTTTGAGATCGTCACTGGTTACTACCACAATTATCCTTTTCAATTTCCCATTGCAGCACTCTAGAAAACATTTTTAAGAATCTTCTGTACTACCCATCCTCAAAAATTGACCTTTATAGTATGAAAAAATAGAATTCAGCAAACCTTACTTCTGGTAGTGGGCTGGCTGGTTTGGTTAGGATTCCTCCCACATAAACAACATTAGGTAGAGTGGGTCTTGGGAACTCCAGTGCCACATCTGTACACAGCATCCACAGGCTGGTCTCCTGAACCAAGTCATACATGGATTTCACCGGAAGCAGGTTGTACTTTTGCATTATCCTTTCATATTTCGGAAGAACCAGAAAGCTGATTCCTAATCTTGAAATGAGGTAAACACCAGTGTTTTTCATTCTCTCCAGAAAGTTCATATCATCTGTGAGAAGTGAGTTAAACTCCGGAACATAAGACAATGGCATGGGAGCCCCCACTTCAGCAGGATACCAAAGACCTGTGGAGAATACTGCATACTTCACCCCTAAAAGATGAGCTATAACAAATCCACACATCTCATTAGGGTCCACCAGCAGCAAATCAAATTTTTCTTTTTTCAGATCCTGCATCAAAGCACTATTGCCAACCATCTTCTCACAGTTTTTAGAATAGTGGTCCAGGATGTCAAACAGTTCTATTACTGTAAGTTTCCCAGAGAAAATATTCCGCATTTTGGACTGTAGAAAAGCATCTGAGGTGGTGCTGTTAAATATCCCTGGGTAGCGCTGGAGTCTGTAATGATTAGATGGCATGATGTCTCTGCCTTCGGACAGGAGAAACACTGTCTGGTGGCCTCTCTCATGTAAGGCTGAGGCCAAGGTCTTGAAAATGTACATATGGCTTTCAAACATAATTGGCGGCACAACGACGATTTTGGCAGCCTTTGCTAGTCCAATAGCACTCCACAGGAGTACGAAAAATTGAGTGAAAGACTTCATAGCTGAAATGACAACCAGAAAATGACTTTAAAACAGTTTACAATTCTTCAGAATGTTTAGAACTTTCAAAATCAAATACTACACAACCATTATTTTTGACACTCCCAGTGAGATGACATTTCAGATCAACTGACTGTTCTTTATCCCCTAAGGACATAGATTCTCAATCCCCTTATAAATATTAACTTAATATTACATATAATTAGACTCATAAATTTCAATACAGCATTTATGAGGGACAAAGCTGGCAAAAAGTAAAACATTACAGCAGTTTGTTATGTGTCTGTAACAGTTTTGCACCTTGAAACCCTCCTGGCTATTCCTGAACACCTTCAGGGAAACGGAAGTTCAAGACAAATGACCTTCAAGGTTAAATAACAAACATCACAATACCCCTCCCTCCACAAATAAATACATATTTTAAATAATAAACAATTTTGTTCACTGTCACAGAGAACGTAAATCCAAAACTTGTGATTTTTCTGATTATTACCTTTAGATTATTTCAAATTATTTATTTTCATAATATTATTATTTTCATATTATTCAGATAATTTATTCAGATTATGTCTAGCCTGTAGATCATCTTTCCACCCTTTACATTTAATCACTCCCTATGTAATCAACAGTTACACCGCTAACTATTCTGGGATTATATATATATATATATATCAACAAATTGGCAAAATACAGCGACCATGGGGCATAGCTGAGGGGAAAAGTTCATCTGTTATAACAGTGGTGTTTCTTCCATCCCCAAAGCTCTATATTCATTTTCTACACTGGGATAGAGATGAGATAACATTTGTGATTTCATGGATACAGACTCTCTCAGGTAAGAACATTCCTTCTACCACAACAGATCGCAACTTAAAGTCTGAGATTTTGCTCAGTGTACTACGACGAAGTGAAGTGACTTGCTCAGGGTCTTATAGCAGTCTATGTCAAAAGCTAGGTTAGAATCCATCTATTCTAGGTTTTGAAACCAACTCTATCCACTACTCCAAACTGACTCTTTTTTTCTCTTAAACTCACTATAATCACTACATATCCCTTTTCTCCTAATTGCTTAGTTACCCATGCATTTGTCCCTTTAGCAGCTTCTCTCAATAAGCGCATAACTTTGGACATCAACGAGGAATGACGCTGAATAGCATGGCTACTGGTTACAACTCCTTCCAAATGTCCCTGGCTATACATTCCATTAGAGGGCCTGTGTGTGACTAAGGTACAAATAAAGTCCAGGAGGGCAGTTTTCCACCTGGAAGGCCCTATTTTCCACACTGTCACCTGATCAGGTTATATAAAAATGTCAAATGTGCCTTTGGCTACTCGTACAATAAATATCCTGTTCTCTTTCTAAAGGGATTACAAGGAGGGTTCTGTGCCTTCTCTCTAACCAAGCAACTTTGCAGCTACTGGCTCAAAGATAAAATTGATATTTAAAATCAAAATATATATGCAGATGTGTTTTATATATATATATATATATATATATCAAATATACATACATAAACATTAATTCTGGGGGATTAGAAAAGAGTTAGGTTTTTTAAAATTATTTTTATATGCATACATATATAACTCTATTAAATTTAAAACTTTCCTAACTGCACTGATTCCTAGCACCTACATTCTGTGTTAGCTCTACTTTCTTTCTCTACATTGTAAAACTCAAAGCATCTTAGGGGACAATCAACAGCAAGCATTTGACCATTTAATAATATTTATAATTATTAAGGCCTATGACAGTAATTACATTTCACCTCTTGTTCTCATCCTCTACCAAAACCATACCCAATCCTGGTCATTTCCAAACCAGGAGACCTGTACTCTGAGCCGTCCTCCTCACACCCCTCCCTCTACAGCAGGAGCTGTGTCCCTGGAGCTCTGGACTCCAGGAGGTGATTGATCATCTCCCTTTGCCCAGAATCAGGCCTCCCCACAAGGCTTTCCACAGTTTCCTTTCATGTGCTGCCTTCAGCCAACAGAATGCAAACCCCCCTGAGGAGCTGTCTTGCTTATGCGCGTGTATGTATCCCAATTCAGAGCAGTACCTGCAACATTTATTCATTCAGACATGACACTGTACCTTTTACAGGAATTTAAATAAATGGATACCCCACACGGGCCTGGAGACAGGAAGATCTGAGTTCAAATTAGCCTAAGACCCTAGCAGTGAGACCCTGGGAAAGTCACTTAACTTGTTTACCCCATCCATAAAACAAGAATGATAATAGCACCAACCTCCCAGGATTACTGTGAGGATCAAATGAGATAATAATTTTAAAGTGCTTAGCACAGTACCTAGAACACAGTAAGAACTAAATAGCTATTATGTCTACACATAGCTTGAGTATATACATTTTCGTGGAAGGTTTCTTTGAATGGTAAATAGCTGGCCCAATGGAAATGCATTCAGTTTATTAAAAACCATAAGGGTGGGCAAGTAGGACAAATGAGGCAGAGGGGAAAAAGGGGGGGAACAAAGTAGGAAAAACTTTTCCTCACCCTCTTTTCTTCTTTCACTGCATGCTATCATTTTCCCTACACCCATCCTCTGTCCTCCCTTTCCATTCCAGTGACAATGAAAGGTAGGGAGTCCAAACAGTTATAACCTCAACACAATGAAAGGGATGGCAACAACAGCTACATTAATAGCCACTGTCACCATCAATATCATGTATTATTGCCTTGTCTGGCACAGGAAAAATCATAATTTGGCAATGGTATACAGCATCTGCCATCACTGGGCTTTTCAAAGGTCTGCACAGACACTGGACAAACCTTATTCCACCTATCTCCGTACCACAGAAGAGGGAACCTTAGCACTTATAAATAATTAATAGCTTAACAAGATAATTAGCAACTGTGCCATTTCATTATATAATAATATAATTATATGTAAATATAATATAAATTTTATAATAACAGAAACAAATAATAACAATAGCTACCACTTTTAGAGTGCTTTAAGGTTGCAAAATTCTTTACAAATATTACCTAATTTTATCCTTGAAGCAACTGTAGGGAGCAGGTGCTATTGTTATCTCTTTTTTACAGATGAAGAAACTAAGGCAAACAGAGACTGAGTGACTTGCCCGGGGTCATATGGCTAGTAAGTATGGCTGAACTTGAACTCAGATCTTCATAATTCCAGGTTCAGGGCTTCATCCACTGTACATAGCTGACTATATTCCTTCTCCCCAAAGTATTTTTCTTAATTATTTATTATCTTTTCAGAAATCTACAGAGTCAAAGTAAAACAACAACAACAACAACAGAGAGAATTAGTTGTATGGGCTCCAGAAAGTCAGTCATATTCTGAATTCCAATTTGTTTTTAAACATATAGCAATTCTCATTGGTTGTAGTCACTACTGGGTTTTCATTTTGAGTTTAGAAAAATATGCTGATTAATGAGAAATGCTACAGATGTCAGGGCCCCAAAATGTGGTGCTAAAAGGTTAATAGTCATAACTTGCATTGGTTCTTTTAAAATAATACACACTTGAAAATATTTGAATACTGAAAATAGAATTAACTTTTCTAAGTCTATTTTTTCCTTATTATATGACTTCAATGGATCCGATTTCATCAACAGGGGTACTTCAAGCCTGCAATCCAACTATCCTTCTCCATCACGTCTTAACTGTTAAGTTCTGGGTGAGGGTGATGGGGTTTCTGGAGGGCAGGGTGCACTCTCCCATAGGGAATACATTTTTTACCTATTTTAATGTATCATGAAAATAAAATTAACAAGTTATCGTGTTAGGATGAAGAAAGGAGGAGAAAAAGGAAGATGGAAGGTAATAGGAATTTAAAAGGTACCTCTTCAGTTAAATTATGAAGGAATTTTAAACAAAGGCAAATGTAATATTTTAAACAAATTAATTTTGATGATATTGGTATTTATCACAATATGCCACGCTTTTTTCTTTTGCTAATTATTAGATAATTTAATGATGATGATAATGATAACTATCATTTCTGTAGCACTCACTAAGTGCAAGGCACTGTGCTAAGTGCTTTATATGTAACTATTATCTCACCTGAGCCACACAACAACTCTAGAAAACAGGTGCTATTATTATCCCCATTTTACAGATGAAGAAATAGGCAAACAGAAGTTAAGTGACTTGCCAATAATCACACAGCTAGAAAGTGTCTGAGGCCAAATTTGAACTCAGATCTTTCTGATTCCAGGCCTGGTACACAGCTAAAAATAAATTCCAAAGATTCTATTAGCATGTATCCATGATGGAGGCATTATTCTATCATGTCCACTGAAGAAATAACTGACAACTGCTCTTAGCTTTCATGGGGAAAAAAAAAAACATAATAAAAGCACTCACGACATGCACATGCTAATATTTGAACACTCTATTGAAAACATAATTTCCAAGTCTCCAACTTTTCCTAATTAATAAGTTCCATTTTATATTATGTATCATCTTAAAATTTTAACTTATTCAGCAAGTATTTATTAACTGCCTATCATAAGCTAAGCATTATAAATATAATTTATAATAACAAAATAATTAACAACAATTAAATGCTCACTCTTTTCAAGGAGTTACATTCTTTTGAGGAAACCACACATACATAGCTAAGTAAATTAAAAATATATGCTGAGCAGTTTTGAATAGGCAGAAAATAGCAGCAGAAAGAGGTTAGGCCAGGCTTCAGGTCAAAGGTGGTCCTTGGGCAGTGCCTGGAAAGCATGCTATGCATTCTATAAGAACATGACTTCTGGCATGGAAGAGGCTGAACACCAGACAATCTCCTCGTAGAAAAGCAAGCTGACCTATTTAGAGAGCATGGGAAGGAGATTAATGTCTGGTTAATTTTCAGGTATGATGGAAAATTATATTACCAAATCATCCTGGGGAAAAATAAGGAATAAGGAAGAGGAGAAAAAGAGAAACAAGAAGAAAGATGAAAATGGTACAAACAACATTTTTTTTAAGTGAGGGTTTTGATGATAAAAGTTACCCGAGTGA